ACTAAAAAAGGGGAGGGTTGAAAGGGGTGAGGTATGAAAAATTATCTATGGGGGACTGGGCACAGTGGCTCATGCTTGTAATCCTAGCACTTTGGAAGGCTGAAGTGGGAGGATCACTTGTGGTCAGTCCAAGACCAGCCTGAGCAACATAGGGAGACCCTGTCTCTACAAAAAAATAGAAAAATTAGTCAGGTGTGGTGGTGTGCACCTGTAGTCCCAGTTGCTTGGGAGGCTGAGGCAGGAGGATCCCCTGAGCTCAGGAGTTTGAGGTTGCTGTAAGCTATAATCACACTACTGCCCTCATGCCTGGGCAACAAAGCAAGACCTTGTCTCCAAAACAAACAAACAAACAAACAAACAAAACCAAACAAACAAAAAACCAAAAATTACCTATGGGGTACAATGGACACTACTCAGGTGATGGGTATACCAAAAGCCCAGACTCCACCATTATGCAATACGTACATGGAACAGAATTCAACTTCTACCCTGTAAACCTATTAAAATAAAATAAAATAAAATAAATAAGATAGATCATATCCTTAGCCATAAACAAACTTGAACAAAAACTTTTAAAATCTGAAATAATACAAAGCATATTATCTGAATGTGGTAGGCAGAAGTCTAATGTGCTCCCCAAATTTCTGCCCCCTGGGATGCACACCCTGTGGGACTGTGAGCATCATGGGATATACTCTTGTGATTAGGTTCTATGGTCCAGTTGACTTTCAGGAAGGGAGATGATCTGAGTATGCCTAACCTCATCACAGGAGGCCTTTAAATCTAGATGTATAGAGGTCAGAGACAGAGGAAGCAGAGACTCAAAGTGTGAGAGGGATTTGGAAGTGAGGGAAATTCTCTCTTAATGGCTTTAAAAACAGAGAGGACCACACAGCAAAGAATGCAGGTGGCCTTTGGGGAAGCAGAATAGATCCTGGCTGACAGCTAGCAATAAAAAGAGAGAATGGCCTCAGCCCCAAAACAGAAAAACAAAAACAAAACCAAAAGCTTCTCTTCTAGCTATTTTGTAAAATACTATATCTTACTTACTGTTTGTTAACTATTGTCACCCTACCGTGCAATAGAACACCAGAACTTATTCCTCCTATCTAATTGTATATTTGTACCTACTGACCAAACTCCACATTCCCCCTCCCCTCTCCCCTCCCCAGTCTCTGGTAACTATTGTTCTACGCTGCTCCTATGGTGTCAACTCCTTTTAAAAATATATTCTACATGAGTGAGATCATGCAGTATTAGTCTTTCTACGTTATGGCTTATTTCACCTAACCTGATGTCGTCCAAGTCCATCCATGTTGTCGCCAATAGCAGAATTTCCTTCTTTTTTTATGGCTGAATAATGTATTTTGTGTATATGTACCACATTTTCTTTATCCATTCATCCATTGGTGGACACTTAGGTTGATTCCATATGTTTGCTATTGTGAATAGCACTGCAATAAACACAGGGTACAGATATCTCTTTGACATATTGATTTCCTTTCCTTTGGAAATATATCCAGTAGTAGGATTTCTGAATTATATGGTAGTTCTATTTTTAATTTTTTGAGGAACCTCCATATAGTTTTCTACGGTGGCTGTACTAATTTACAGTCCTACCGACAGTGTATAAATGTTCCCTTTTCTCTACCTCCTCACCAACACTTTTTTTAGGGAGACCTTTTTTATTATAGCTTCTAACTGGAGTGAGGTGATATCTCACCGTACTTTTGATTTGCATTTCCCTGATGATTAGTGATGTCGAGCATTTTTTCGTGTACCCGTTCATCTGAATATATTCTATTGAACGATGTGTGTTAAAATCTTTTGTCTATTTTAAAATCAGGTTATTTGGTTTTTTGCTGTTGAATTGTAAGAAAAAGCTCTAACAATGGAGTTTCTGATCTAATAGTAGGGAAAAAATTTGTCATCAATTCCTCCCCATCTTTGAAAAATCACTTCTAAATGTTCATGCCTGACTGTAGAAGATATCCTACAATGAATGAAATTCTTTCTCTCTTCTTCACTCATTGGGTATATTACTGGTAAATAATATACCAATGTGTCATTTTTGTTATTCCTCCTCCCTTGCAAGACTTATTTTCTTAATTATGTTTGCCTAAGGGCATTTTATAAATTGGTTTGCATTTCTGAGTACAAACCTTTGGGGAAATCTGATAAAATGCAAATTGTTTATCTGTGTCTGGGTAATCCCATTAATCCCATAGTATCCCTTATTTTATTAGCTCTTCCCATGAGAGAGCAAGGAACCCATGCTAAGGGACAGAAGTTAAGAATTTTGGCAATTAAACTCAATCAAATTGATTGCAAATTCTTGGATATAGGGAGCAGGTCTACAAATGGTTTTTTGAATCCCTGTTTTGTGCAGGTCTATGATGGATTAGCAGGTGAGCCTTAGAGTCCCTTCCCAGTCTGGTTCCTTTGGCCCCTCAGTGATACTTTTAAGAAGTGTGGAGAGAAAGGGGGAGCAATGATTTGTCATCTGCAGTCAGAATAAAGGAAGTATAGGCAGAACTGCTGCAGAAAGACTAAAACATGAGGATGTCAACCTAAATAACTGACAGAGAGGAAAACTCTAGAAGAAAATGATATTTGTGAGTAGCATTATAATGGAAATATGTGTGCCATAGTAAACTATGTGTGTACTCAAGGAGGTTGGACAAGGGGAAATTTTTAAAGGCAAAATGAAGAAGATGACATAAATTGTTCTGAAATAATAATATTTGATTATAGGGTGGTGTTAGTCCAAGGTTGGACAGGTGGTTGCTAGGCAGATGTCTCCACAGAAGTATTTTTTTGTGTGTGTAATTTTGTGATAACCTTTGTGCAAGGTTGTGTTTTTTGCAGTCTTCTGTAGTAGTTCCTTTTAT